CTCTGGAAGAGCAGCCAGTGCTCTTAACCTCTGAGCTATCTCTCCAGCCCACATAAGCTGTTTTCTAAAGGACTATGCTGTAGAAATTCATAACCTCCGTAATATGTAGTATTATCAAACCTACACTTTTAAAAAATATTTACTTATTTTTAAATTTGTGTGCATGAGTGTTTTGTTTAAGTGTACTGCATGTGTGCCTGGTCCCTGCGGAGGCCAGAAGAGGGCGCCAAATCCCCTGGAACTGAAGTTATGGATGGGTAGCTGGGATGTTGCTGGGTACTGAAGCCTGGTCCTCTGCAAGAGTAGCAAATGCTCTTAACTGCTGAACCATCTCTCTAGCCCTAAGACCTACATATTTTCCTCAGTCTAAAGGTTATGTAGTGGTATCCAGTGTCTTTTGATTTTTAAAAGTTGTTTGTTTTTTTTTTGGTTTTTCAAGACAGGGTTTCTCTGTGGCTTTGGAGCCTGTCCTGGAACTAGCTCTGTAGACCAGGTTGGTCTCGAACTCACAGAGATCCGCCTGTCTCTGCCTCCCGAGTGCTGGAATTAAAGGCGTGCGCCACCATCGCCCAGCAAAGGTTTTTATTTTTATGTGCTTCCTCTTAGTCCCGGATCCCTTACATAGATGATATAGATCAACTGATCATATATAAAAATTATTTTTGTTTGGGGGGGCTATGCATGCCACAGCAACCTTATGGAGATCAGAGGATAACTTTTTAGGAATTTTAGGAATGGTTCTTTTCTATCATGGGTTCTCCAGAGTGAACTCAAATTGTTCGGTTCCCACTGAGCCATCTGACTGGCTCTCATATGATATTTAAATTCCACTGAAAACACTTAAAAGAATTATGTAGAGACAGGGATTTGCTATGTAGCCCAGTCTGGTTTTAAACTCTCAATCCTGCTTAGCTTCCCAAGTGCTAAGATTCCAGATGTTTGGACTGGGCACCTAGCTTTCTTCAGTGCATCTTTATCTGCTGTCAGCACCATTTAAATGTTTTCTCTGAGCCGAGTCCTCTTAAGTCCTTACTGTTTTATCTCATGCAATCCTCTCCATAAGTAGCTAATTTGAAGTGGAGGAAAATGATTATAAGGAGGTTAAGCAATTTGCTCTTGTCTGCACAGCTAGTTAAGTGGGAGAGCTAAAGTTAAAGCTGGTCTGGTTCAAACGCTGTGACTTATACAGCACACTGTCCCATTTGTTTGGTGAAATCAGGGCAGTGGACCACACTGTTCTACTTGGCCGTCAGATTAGGTAGAGTTTTGTTGTTTGGAGAAAAGGTCTCACAACGTAGCCTAGGTTAGCCTGGAGCATGCTATATATCTGTAGGATTGCTTAGTACTTGTGGTGATTCTCCTGCCTCTGCCTCTGAAATGCTGGGATTGCAGGCATGGGCCCTACACCCAGATCAAACTGGTTCTGGTATTTGTTTTTTGAGATAGTATCTCTTGTAGCCCATTCTGGCCTTTAACTCTGAATTCCTGCTTCCACCTCCCTTATACTGTACTTACCTTCCTGTCTTCCTGTGCCACCATACCAGACTTGCCTTTTGTTTTTGTAGACTAACTTTATTAAGTAGAATTGACTATACTTGTATTTGTGGGTATGTTTGTGTATGAGGGTGTGTACTTGTAGGTAAATGTCTGAGGACATGTCTTGGATGTCACATTCAGGAGAATCCATCTTGTTCTTAGAGACAGGGTCTCTGGGATGTGGCGCTCAGTGATTAGGCTGGCTGGTTGGCCAACAAACTCAGGTCTACCTGTCTCTACCTTGCCAGTGTTGGAATTACAAGTATGTCCAGCTTTTTACATGAATTCTGGTCGTCAGGCTCAGGCCCTTTTTTATTTTTGGTTTTTCGAGACAGGGTTTCTGTGTAGTTTTGGAGCCTGTTCTGGCACTAGCTCTTGTAGACCAAGCTGGCCTCGAACTCACAGAGATCCGCCTGCCTCTGTCTCCTGAGTGCTGGGATAAAGGCATGCACCACCACCACCCTGCTAAGCTCAGGCCCTTATGCTTGCGTGGGAAACCCTTTAACATTCAAGTCATTTCCCTAGCTCTAAAATACTCATTTTTATGCATCTAGTTTTTTTTTTTTTTCTTGGTTTTTCGAGACAGGGTTTCTCTGTAGCTTTGGTGCCCGTCCCGGAAATAGCTCTTGTAGACCAGGCTGGCCTCAAACTCCCAGAGATCCGCCTGCCTCTGCCTCCTGAGTGCATGCATCTAGTTTTATGACAGAATTATCACCAAATTCCAATCTTAAGACATTTCCGTCATCTCGTGGGATATTTTCAGCATGAATGTTCTTGAGTCTCACATTTTGTTGGTTAGAAGGTACTAGAGAAGTAAACTCTATGATCATTTGAATTTGCAGAGTGGCCTTAGGGGAAAGGATAGATAAAGGATAGCCTCCAGTCCCCACATCCCTGCCTTCTCAACTCTGCCTTCTGGCTGCTCAGCCTCACTCCCATTGCCTATTTCTGCTATGGTTGGGAAGCAGAGCACAGCCTCTGGCAGGCCTGATCCTGCTGTTCCCGTAGCTGTAATTTTTTTTTTTCAGCACCAAAGCCTTTGCTAATGTTGCCTGTCCTACCCAAAATGGGTTTTCCTCCTTCTTGGAGGGTCTGTTTATTTTCTTGTTTTCCTTTCAGAACTCCTTCAGCCAATAGCCTTTAAGATACTGGCCCACTTTGGGCATGGTCTCATGTACTATATGTGCAGATGAAAAAGCGTGCATGGCCCTTTTTCTGCTGGATTCTGTCCCAGTGCACATAGAGTACTGCAGATCGCTACCCTTTCTGTGAGTTTATCCCCAAATAAATAAACCCTTGTTATACTCCATTCTGGATTATTGTGGAGCTCTTGGATACAACTACATGTGTGCATGCCAATACATGTGCACGTGGAGGCTGGACGTTAACATTGTCTTCTGTGGCTCTTCAGCTTATTTTTTGTGATGGGATGTCTTACTAAACCTGGGTCTCTCTAGCAAGTGCCTGTCTCTACCCCTTTCTTACCCCAGTACTGCGATGGCACCATGTTCAGCTTTGGCTTGGGTGCTGGGGATCCTAACTCAAGTTTTCATGCTTGCATAGCAAGCAGTTAACTCACTAAGCCATCACCTAGCCCTTTAAAAAATAGTTTTTATTATTTTAATTATGTGTATTTGTGCATGTATAAGTAAGCTAGTTGTCGTATTCATTATTAAAGGTACGTGCCCACATGAGTGCAAATGCTGTAGGGAGGCCAGAGGCAGCAGATCCCCTGGAGCTGTGGACCACCTGATGTGGGCCTGGGAACCAAATGCAGGTCCTTTGCAGGAGCAGTGCTCACGGTTAACCACTGGGTCATCTCTCCAGCCCCTGTTGATTTTTTTGTTTGTTTGTTTGCTTTTGTTTTATGTTGTTTTGTATTTTTGAGGAAGGGTCTTATGTTTAGGCTGACCTCAAACCCGATCTGTAACAAAGGATAGCCTTGAACTCTTGATCCTCCTTCCTCCACTTTCCAGTGTTGAGATTACAGGTGAGGGCACTGTCCAGCAGTCTGTTACTGTCAGGGTAAGAGAAGCACCTCTTCTGGTTTCCTCAAGAATCTCCTCTCCTCTCTGTGTCCAGCTTTCATGTCTCTGATCTGCTTTGCACTGAATCTGGAGGGGCTGTCTCCCTGGGTATAAGATTGGCAGGTGGCAATCTGTCTTATGGGTATCCTGTTCCTTACTGCTGAGCATACAGTTAAGACATGCCAGTCTGGAGTATATGATGATTTTAGCATTCTAAATTTTGTAAAAAACCATTATGTATATAAGAATGGGCAATTTTGAGCCAGGCGGTGGTGGCGCACGCCTTTAATCCCAGCACTCGGGAGGCAGAGGTAGGCAGATCTCTGTGGGTTCGAGACCAACCTGGTCTACAAGAGCTAGTTCCAGGACAGGCTCCAAAACCACAGAGAAACCCTGTCTTGAAAAACCAAAAAAAAAAAAAAAAGAATGG